CTAGATCAGCTACAAACCGACCTGACATCGTCATGTTCGTTGGCTTCTGCAGCTGCTTCGATTCCATCCAGCATATTTACCAGCGATGAACAGTGGGATGCAGAGTGGAAATGCGGCAGTTGTCTGGCTTTAACTTTGGGAGTTGATCCCTGAAGCTCATCCTCCTCCAAGTCGCACAGTCCTGAACTCTGGTGGAACTTAAAAGGAGCTGAGCAATGGGACCTCTGTCTTGCAGATTCGACGGCCAGTTCGGAAGCAGATCGTTCACAGTTGTATTGCAACGCTTTTTGAAGGGAAACAGGAAAATCTTCCTCACGGCGAGGAAAGTTCAGAAAACTTCTGAACTTTCCTTGCCATGAGCCTCAAAATTTTTTGAGCCACTTCTTCCACATCCATCTTATAGCCCTGATCTCCTGCCGGCGGATGCCCACCTGCTCCTCTCCCCAGTCCATCTGCTGTGGAAGAAATCTCATCCTATCTACAATGATCGCAAATGACACCCATTCTTTCCTCAATCAGAAGCCTATGAACCTCTTCGAAAGGGTTTCTTTCCTTTGTTCCTCCCACAGCAGCTTCCCACGCGTTGGCAGTTGTCTATGTTCAGTTCAGTAAAAGGCGGTGTAGTGGTGGTGTGTATTATACTGAAGAAATAAATCGAGGAAATAGTAAAGAATGAAATCAAAGAGCGACAAGTTTGTTGCAGAAATCACGGACCAACCTAATATTTACCATATAATTTTTCTCTTTGTCGTCGAGTACGATTTTTTATCATTCATTGGATTTATGGATTATATCTCTATATTTAGATGCCCGATATCGGAGTGTTCAGTTGCGGTCCATCGCAGCTCAACGACCAGATCAGCTCTGCCTGTGCTCGGGGCAATCGAGCACGAGATGCGCCATCATTTATACACAAATTCGAGACTTTCTAACCATAATCTTTACACTAATACGAGTCACATAATTCATTCAATCGCTGTGATATTGCTCATAAAACCCTTCCACAAATGCACTACTGGTTACAAAAAGGTAATAAAATTCGTCGACTTGGTCAAAATAGTGAATACGATGGCTTAAAAAATGGTGAAAATTGAGGTTAAGGAGCTTTGGAACCCTAACATCTCTTCCACTGCGCACTACCGCTCCCGCTAGTCGTACCCGGCTCCCAACTATCGGACCTGTCAGTTGCCGTCCCTATTTTTTGAACATTTTTAATAAAATCCGTCTCAAAGCTCTACCTACAAATATGGATAGGGTAGGGTACCTTTGCGACTTGAATACTACCACTGCGCTGGTTCAGTCCGCATTAGGTGAGCATTCCTATTAGTGCTTGTAGCTCGACATGATTCTCACGGCCATTTTCGGATTTATGCCGCTAAGGTCACGGCGCGGCGTTATGGAAACTTGCAACCTGTCGCGCGGCGATACAGTTGCGCGGCGAAGGGTTCGAGTAACATATTTTTTTTGCTCTCGTCCGCCCTCATCCAGGTGCATGTTCTCTTGCTATGTCTGATTTTCACTAATTTTTAAACTTGAAAACGCCTTGAGTCCGAAAGCCTAGCAAATTTTTGGCCCTTGAAACGCGAGATGTTTGCACGTCATCGCGCCGTGACCACACCCTTGCTAGTGCTGTACCCTAGGCCTGGTTATGTGCCAAATGATACGGAGCTTGGTTTGTAGATAAGTTCACATTGCTCATCACTGTGGGCTTTGCAGGCGCTTAGGTACCAAATATCCCGCACCTAAAATCCTCCGGTAAAATTCCTTACAAATGTTCAAGACTCTACAAAAAGACGAGTACATGAGATATAGTGATGAAGTAATTTAAAGAGCCGAGGTATGAGTTGCAGTCCCCCCTACTACCCTACTTCTTCGACCACCGTTTAATAAAGAAATCCGGCGCGCGGCACCCGGTAAAAAACTACTGTCTCGCCACATCGCAGTATCACGCAATTTCTTTTCAGAAAATGTTTTCTAAAACCCTCCAAAAGTAAACCCGCCCAAATTTCGCAACCGTGACCCTACCGTGACCCTCGTGTGTGACTCGGTGTTAATTTTACCCCTTACAGTTTTTCTTCTCACATTTCAATAGGAATAATGTGAATGTTATGCTTTATCTACAATCTATTTCACTCTGTATCTTTGCTGGGTATTTCAATACGAAAATATTTGTGTAGAGCTTGGTTGTTGCTTTTTGGTGAAAACTCACTTGAGGAAAACTTCGTTTATCAAACTGCCTTTTTATGCTCAAGATGGATGTGAAAAAATTATGCTCATTTTCTATGCAAAATAAATGCTTTCATGCAAGTGCAATTTCAATTTGAGCGCCCTATACGCTAGTTATATGGGATAAGAACTTCGCGGTAAGGGTAACAACTTCAAATATGCGTAAGATCTATGGTAATGCGAGCAGCTTAACAATACGTAGGGCCCAGCGGTGAAACACGATTGCTTTCCTACGTTTCCTTTTTTGCGAGATAGGATGGCTCGTGACAAAAATGATTTCTCAGTACGGTTACGTAGGTTCCACCGCATCCAAGTTCACGATGAGGCGTGCAGTGCCACATGCTTTCGGCGGATCCTCTGTCGTTTATTTATTAATTTATTTATTTGGAACAACGAGCAGAGTTTGCGTGACTTCAAAAACAGCAGCCCAGCTAGAAACAACATGACATCATAATCGGAAAAAATCGAAAGCGATAGTAATTTATTAATACAACAGGAAACTCTGAGGGGGCTTATTTGGAGACCATTCTCTTGAAAACAGCGCGCATTATTGTCTGGATGTACAGGAATGTAGGATATCTTCACCTGCATGCCAACAAGCGTACAAGGGGTAGAAGAAAAAGTCTGTTCGTCCTTAACCGCTAGCAGCAATCAAAACTCTGCCTATCTCTTCGTCAGGAAGGCTCTTACGGAATAGTTGATTTAGCGGAATGGAATACTCAGTCACAGTTTGATTCACCACGTGAAAATGATGCGTCATAGACCTGTGATAACGAACGGCTTCATATCCCGATGACTATGAAGAAACTCGGCGAGCATTTTGTGTGGGCTCTCAAGCAGGATCTTGTGCATTAGTTCACCCAGGGAATTCTTCTGCTTTTCATTTTTTTGCGCCGCAAAGTAACGCGCTGGGTTTCCCAATTTCAGAATGTTATTTTGTAGCCGCTCCTGTACAGTTGACAAATTAATCTCAGGTGTCTGAAATTGTGTAGGAGGCGTCCTGGGATTCCTCTTCAGAAACCATGTGCAGTTCAAAATCAGTGCTATACAAGTAGGGGGGGGGCACGCCGCATTTTTTTGAAAAAAAATGTACGTAAGTGGGACTGCAGCCCGCTTCCAATACTTTCACGGAGAATCGGAGAATTCGTGAACCAGGGGAGTGTAGCCAAGTCTAGGAGGTGGGGTGTAGGGTGAGGCGGTGAGGCGCAGCCACTTGACAATTGCGTGAAAGCTGGGGTGCCTTCCTCCCCCTCCACTTGTATAGAGCCCCAAAATCCTGTCCGGGCTGTTTGTCTTTGGTATGACAATCTGTTTTAATGACATCATTTCCCTTCTGTGACAAATGACAAGACTTGTCCACATCAGCATTTTTCTTTCTAAAAGTGCTATCACTTCCAAAGGTGGGCGAGCCACAAACTTCCGGTTAGCTAACAAACAACACGTTTGCATATTTCACAGAACTGATTAAGATGTGCTAGCGTGGGCAAATTTTGCTTGGTGCTGAATCTGCCACCTCCAGGTGATAACTATCTCTTCAGATAAGAGTCGGCTATTTTCTTAGCTACCCTCAGCAAGTTAGCTTAAACATCATTCACTCAAATCATAAATATTCCGTTACCAATCCAGGTGATGCCTACCCTCCAAGTACCGCACATATAAGCGCTTCTAGCTTAACCACATGTCCACCTTTTGAGTTGTCGTAATAGATGGTTGGGCGCTTTCGCAAGATACTGGGCATTGTAGTGGCTGTGCATTTGAAACCACTTAAAACATCACTTCATTGATGAAAAAAGGACCAAGCCTCAGGCGCGGGCTGAGAAATCCACGATACATAAGCAATTTTCATTTCCCTCGAAGCTACTGCTCCCTCCTAGGTCTTCCCAGAGGATGCCCCCGTATAGTGCCATAGCGCCGATGGTTGTTCTTAAATTAAGCTGCAGCTTTGCGTTGATGTTTGAGACCGCTCCAACAATTCTTCTACGCTACACCTTGTATTTCTACAGTTTCATAAAAATGGGGTTGACCAACTTTTTTCATGGATATCCACTCTCACCAGGGAAGAAGCGCAAAATCAAACACAGCTGCGCCGTGCTACTCATCATGAGCTACACAGCTACAACTATATAAGCATTCCTTAACTGTAAGTTGAACGCATGGCGCATACTATACGTTACCCAAAACAGCTCGCTTTCTGTCCGATATAACATATATACTTTTTTGAAACCACTGACTGCATTCTTTTGACAACCACTACCAGGCGACTTTTGCTAGTTTCTCTGAAGGTCACCGTCCGTAATTCATCTGAAATTGTTTTCAACCCCAATACTTCCTTTTTGGACAACAAAAAGGATTGCTATAATTAACCTCATCCACAAGAAGATTCTCAACCATATAATTTCCTTCTCACTCTAGATTGCTTTCTTCTGCAGAATCATGAACAGCAGTTACGCTATTTTTCGATGATGCTCTTTTCTTTATCTTTTATCCAGTAAATTTCCCTCCTTAACTCAGAAAATCAGGCAATTCAGAGTCTCACCGGATGAATTTGATTACTGTCGTTATCCTTAATTGTCAGGATTGTTCAACTATTCTGCTCAGGTATGTTTGGCTCTCACCAAGTTTTACCCGGACTAAAACTATTTTTGAATTATTATTGGTGTCGCTGAATAGGACCGACCATTTTTGGCTGTTAGCTTACCGGTAAGACCTCCTGTCCACGAACAATGAAATGAAACACATTGGGTTAGTATCTGGTCCTGAATGAACTTTGGTATTCCTAGGTGTCGTGCACTTTTGCAGCATGTGATTAGAGCGTAGACGCTCTTGTCCTACGGGGGGAGGGAACATTCAAAATAAAAGCGGGCCGATTGTGGTAGGGTGACAACGGGTCTAAGCCCAGGGAGGGGAGGAATGCAAGGAAAACACAAATATTGATTCATATCGTTACTTAGAAGTCATCCGGCCCCTTCTAGTTTCGCGTTCTAGTTAAAAAATTGACCTCCACCTGATGCCTCCCTCCCTCCCTAAAACGACTCCGAACACGATGAGTATGCGTTGCAAAGTATAAAAAACATTATCTGAAAAACCCTTGCGAATTTCGATATCACCTTCACAATGTGACGCTTGGATAGCAGGCGCGAAATGGAAAGGGACCTATTCCAGTTAGGGGGCATAATGATGCAGTTTTTCCTGAAAGCTACGGTAAAACCGAGGCATGAGGAGTGTAGGCAGTCTAGGGGGTAGGGGTGAGGCGAGTCACTTGACATGCGTGAAAAGCTGGATGTTCCAGTTTTACTCTATTCGCCGAGAAACTCCATCATGATGCCCCCCCCCATAAGTGAATACGGACCCCTAGGAAGCTGTACAACGGCCTGGTTCAGAGACGGCTCGAAGGGTCCAGGCGCCCTCACTTTTAGGAATTTATGATGATACGTGGATTAGAGATGTGGACACTCGTGAAGCCATATTATATATATATATATATTACTTATTTATTTATTACATCTCGTATAACTTCGTATAATGTATGCTATATATTATGTGATAAATATGAATTATTTGATACAATGGAATAACTTTTCAGACTCGCTGAGAACTCAGGAATTCCAACGCTATGATGGTTGGTACAACAATCGTGGAAATCCCAAATGGGGGAGCGTGGGTGAGAGATCTACATTAGAAGCATAACAGATAAACCAAACTTGAGGAAATGTGCTCTCAGGAGTCCCAGGCACCTAGACATCGATTACTACGATAATAAGCAAAATTATAGTTAGAAAAAAATGCAAGCTTTGAAATCGGCTAAATGCTCAGGTAATGTCTTGATTCTATTAAGGAGGGAGGAAATACTGAAGAAAAAAAAAAACAAGGAATGAGCCTTTTTACAGCAGGAATAGGGAAAGAACCTTCAGCTTCAATTTTAGTGAAAACAGTTCCATCAACTTCTCGCATCTTGTTTAGTCACATACACACAAAATTAAGACACCGTCTTTTCGTGGGCCAATCTTTGTTTGGAAAAAACGAACCAGAGGAGCGTATCCACGATAATCGAGTAAGGAGGAAGCGTGGCTAGCTGTCTCCACCTTTGCAGACCTCCTAAGGGTTGCGAACCGATGCCGCAATTCACATAAAGGTATGCTCGGGCGATCTAGTCTTGGCCTTTCCGCGCGTTAAGCCCTCGCACAGTAAAAGCCCCTGCCCCTGTCTGAGCCTCTAGCCAGTTTTCAGAAGGAGGTTCGCTAGCCGTTGGAGTGGACAGCACCGATGGGAGTCGCATCAGTGCGCAAGTAAACGGAAAAGGAAAAGTTTCCGTTTCTCGGGTTTTGAGCCATTTTTCTCGGCATTTCTTCTTTCACTGACAGTTTGGGGTTTCCAATAAACTGCTTTTTCCTCATAAAATACGCCCTTAATTAAGGTAGTCAACTGCTCAGAGATTCGCCTGCAAACTACGCCGACGGAATATACACGATGAATCTGCTCGCTCACCATTCATTCTCGAGCCTATCTCCGAACTTGTTTTGCAAAGGTACCGTTTGTTTGGTGCACACGAGGTAGAGACTTCATTGTCTGATCTGCGATTTTTATAAATTACAACATCACCCAACAAAAAAACTATTTTGCAAGATTATTTGAATCAAGGGCAGGCCTGCAAGTACTAAAGGTGTGGCACCTAAGCCGAAACAGCGAAGAACCTATTATACTTTTACTTACCATCAGTGTCGACCGATTGAGATTGGAAATGACCATGTTTCACAATGGGAGATTATGTAGCGGGATGGTGTCACGCCACTTGGGATTTAAGAAGTTTCTTTGATAAGTGGGAGTTTCCTCGAATGGGGAGTAAGTTGCATGGGAGAGGAAAATTCTACTGCCCACAACCAAAAGTCCCATGGCTACTTTTGCATTTCAATATCACTACCGAAATAATTTTTCGTCGCTTCCGGGCGAATATGATAATCACTTTACCACTATTTATGATGCTCTAGAGGCGTGCATAGTCATTTTGTATGTGAGAGGATATTTTAAAGGGAGTGATCATGATGGCTGGAGGACTAGGGCTAGACCGCTAAATGCGCTAGGAGTGTGGTTGGGACCGCCTCTTAATTACCCTTCTGCTATTGACGTATAGTGACGTCATCGAAACCGCACCGCCCTCCAGCCATCGTAATGGCGCAGTTTTGATGCTCTGCAACAATTCACTTTTCCAAAAATCTTACATGGAATAGTTCCGTAGGGACGACAAGAGGCAAATTCAGTAATAGTAGCGCTTTTGAATCCAGTATCACCCTGATAGCTGGACAATGTTCCAAATTTTAAAATGTGACTTCAGGTTCGCCCGGCATCCGGAACAGACGCAATTTGACCGCCATGTTTGCCTTCTTCTGTGAGTTTCGCTTCACCGCAATCCGTTTCGCTATTGTCAGAATTCACTTTAGAAAACTTTCAAAAACTTACTTCAAAAGGCGAGAAAAACATGCGAGGGAACGTGGCTTGGGATGCTGTTGATCGAACGGCTTCGGTTGATTCATAAAGCATGCATACTTTCTACCAGCTGCTTTCGCCAAGGCTGCCGTTACTGTTACTGTGCCAGCACTCACGGTATCAACATATGTTGATATACGAAGCTTCACTCTTTAGCAAAAATTTTTTAAAGGAGGAATTCACGATTAGAATGAAGGTCGAAGAAAGGGAAACTGACCTAGTTGAGGGACCCACGGACCTCCTGAGGGTGCGAACTGACGCGCAATTCGCATGGAAAAATTTGACCTCGGCGACCTATCATGCCTCAAAGCTGGCGGGTCCGGCGATCTCCGCCCACCGATCATCTGATCACTCGCCGTAGTTCAATACGTGGCGAGTGATTAGATAGCTGAGAGAGCGTAGTGTTGAAGAGGGCACAGCGATGAGAGTCGCATCAATGCTCGAATCAACGGGCAAGGAAGGGGTACCATTTCTCGGGTTCTGGGCCGTTTCTCATGGTTCTTCCTTCTTCTTGAACCACTCACCATCCCTAGGTTAATTTACAAAGGATGCTTTCATGTGAATTCGTCCTTTAAGATAGTGTATGGTGCTCTGGTTGTTTTGAGAAATGATAGCAAAAGTGCTGGGAGAGCATGAAAGAGAAAAAAGGAAAACAAAACCAAAGAAAGGCTCAAACCCAAGTAACACAACGGTAATTAAAATTAGGATTTCTCTTTTTAGTAGTGTTATTATTTCCAGGCGGTGGGGGGAGGGGGGAGGGAAGTAGTGCAGAGAGTGGTCGCGGAATTAAGAGGAGATGTCATCCTAAACATGAAGCGGCATATTAAAAGGTCTGCGAAAGTCGACAAAAATAATGTGTCAAGTCTACCAACGGGCAGAAGCAACCGCTAATGAGGGTAGCCGTTCACTTTTGCACACAAAAGAGACGCCTCAACTCAACAGCTTCAGCTTGAGTGGAGTTTATCGCTGTGAGGAAGGCTAATTTAATCTCGGAATATTTCCAAGAAACAGTAGTGAGGCTCACAGAAAATAAATATCAAAGGAAAGTTCCTCGAAGTGTTTGACTTCGAGGGAGAGGGGGAGGGTCGTATTAACAATGTGTACGTAGTGGAATTGAAGGGACTAGACGTGAAGTGTAGTAGGAGGGACCCCATAAACAACTAAAAAGTTTAGCGCAGAAAATCAACTACAGAAGCAATTGTCGGAATATTTCAGTTGAAATGGTTGTGTATGAGATCACAGCCTCAACGGAAACAAGCTGTCCTTTGGAGATTGTCAAAATCCCAGTTGCCATCGACGATGAGGTAAGCTCTGTTCACAAAAATCACGTCTTTCCGAATCAATCTTACTGAATAAGTCAGAAACTGATTAAAGCCATACCCCAGGATCACAATGATGTTGCTCTAGCACACAAACACGAGTATTGGTGCCAAGTGGGCCGGCAGTGAAGAAAAAAGAAGGAAGAAGAATCCGTCGGAAACGCTTAGGTTGAGGGCTCACTCACCTTCCTAATCGGCTGTGCTAAGGGAATGAGAGACTAAGCGCGGAGAGGAGAGTATGAGGCGAGAGAGCGCTACAGATGAGAGAGCGCCAGACAACAGCCTGATAAGAGAAAAAACTCTGCAGCTTCAGCAGCTTACTTTGCAAGGCCCAAGCGCTCTTGTCGGTTGGTTTTCGGTGCACACGGTAACACAACATTTGTGATTGTCTTCTAGGGGCGTCACATGACTTACAAAGACCGCAAGGAAAAGTTCACCTGACCTTGCCTGGTTTGTGCCTTTGAACAAGAGCGTTTTGAAACGTTGATATTCGAGCCAATATTACTTCACCAAGCCGAAAGCTGGACTATGGACGGTCAAGAAGATCCAGAGTTTCTAAATCATCTATTCAGGCATTCAACGGCAATGGCACCGTCACTGGTATTCCCTTCACACGTGGGAAATACGATAAAACTACGGGTAAAGGTTTCGATTGCCCTAGAGAACAGGTGAGCCGAGAACTCAGAGAACTAGAAATGGAATTTTGACTTGTTTTTTTTTGATTTTGAAAAGGAGACTCAGACCAGCTGATTTGTGGTTTGATCTCTTGAGACTGACAGCCGTGTTCTGACATTTACCTTGCGTGTCATAAAAGTGACAGGTTGCATCTGTAACTCTGGCAGCAACTGTGCTGCGCGAGCCGAATATTTGTTTATTCTATTTGTAATATTTTCCAATGTAAATGCGATGAAATGCTGGCCAGAGTTTAGTAGGGAAAAGGGGATGAAGGCCATATGATTTCACCGAAACAAAGGCCAGTCAGAACAATCGAAATGCCACGCCTTTTGTTCCGAGCTGTTAAGAAACGTTTAGTATATTCTAAGACAATGCTTACAAAGGCATTTGATTTTTAAAAATTGATTTTTTGAGGATATTTTCAGGTTAACGAAAGAACTGCATGGATTGATGCGTCATTCATATACAGTGCTACGGAGCCATGGGTAGCATCAATGAGATCTTTTGAAAATGGCACTTTCAAGGAGGGATCTGAAAAAGGGTCTCATCCAATTTGCGGTCATTCAAAAGCCTTGTAATTCCACTGCTTTCAGTTATCCACCAATGAACGACGCTGATGTTCATGAGTAATCCTCACCCCACAGCCATCGCTACTCAGTCCTGAGCGCCTTTTCCGTCTAATTAATAGTTCTCTTATTCCCTTCATTTTCTAGCCTTACTCCTTAGATAGGTGTTTTTCCTAGGACATCGTAATCTTATTACGAATTCCACTTATTTATTGCTACAAATCACTTGTTTCAGTGCTAGGCGACTCGCGGGTGAATGAGAACCCTGGTCTTCTTTCCATAGGTATTATGCTCTTCAGGTGGCACAATGTCATAGCCAAGAGGTGTATAATAATGATATTTTTACAATTTTCCCCTATTATTTTTTAGTGCACAGGTTTTGGTAATCATCTCTATTTCAGAATGAAAGAGGAATATCCTGCATGGAACGATGAGGAGCTTTTTTCAAGCTGCCTCGAAGCATGGGTGAATCGCTTTCTATTTCAGTAGCCATTCAATCGATCGCCGACTTGGAATTGCTGTTCTATAGCGGAACTGCTTGCGAAGCAAATTGCGGGGGGCGCGGGGAGGGAGGGAGGGGGTGGAGGACGCTGTTAGCAATATGCATTTTAAAAATCTGTTGATGATCTTTGATAATAGTTTGCCTTTGAAAGTAATCCAGTGCAAGTCCAAACGTTACATGCCATGCTTTTAGAGCACTTCCGGAAAAGGTAGGGCTCGTACGGCTCGAAAATAAAAATGTATTTTATGCCGTACCTGGTCCCTCAGATGGGAGGGAACAAGAAAAAAACCCCTTCAGGATTTTGGAAGCATCCAAAGCCGCCGCTGTTATTGCGGATGTTGATTGCTCCCACCCTTTCTTGGTTCGCCGCTCCACTAATATGGTGAGTTACCTTAAAATACGGTAAACGGTATTGGAATCAACACAATGAACTTGTTCATTGGACGAAAGCACAAACTCCGCCCTTGGTCGGCGCGCGCTGTGATGTCAAAGGTTCTAAGCAACCTTATTTCACTTTCCTTTATCACAATAAGGCTAAATAGAAGGGATTGCTTCATTTCTAAACCCGTTAACCTAAACAAATACGCCCAAAGAATAAGGCACAAAATCTAAAACGCTCTCAACTTAGAAATGTACATATAAAGCAACGAAGCAGCTATTACTTTCAGAAAATCATTTATTACGACTTTCTGCCTGTGCTGATCAACGAGGACGTGGAGCCGTACAAGCAATACATGCCCCATGTGCCACCAGGAATCTCACATTCATTTGCTGCTGCGGCATCCAGATATGTGCATACCATTGTCAGTTGAAGCCTTTTTCCTAGTGAATTATCCTTTTGCTGTTAGAGATAGATGCAGGGTCAACCACCGTTTTCCACAACAACCGTTTTTCGTCAACAACCGTTTTCCACCCCCAAATAAGACCCCCACCGTCCGTTGGACAAAGTCTCCGTAAAGCAACGAAGCAGACAAAGTCCAACGGACGGTGGGGGGTCGTATTTGGGGGTGGAAAAGAAGGGGGGTGTATTTCGCGAGGTAGCGTTAATGTTACAGTAAGGGAAGGGATGATTTTTTATGGAACGGAGAGCGGATTAGGTTGTAGGCTGGGATTTTGGGTTGAGTTGAGTGTGAAAATTTTGCCGTTTCACATTCGATATAATACCCTCCCCCCGCTCGACGGCAATTTTCTGAGGAAAAGTGGGCGGGGTTGGGCTGTGTCGACTGGTCTCAGAATCAAATTGCTCTAGAATCGCCCCCTATGATGGCGATGGCAGGCGAGGGTGGTGGAGGATGATCGTGAGGGGTTAAACCCTGAGGAGGGGGTCGTATCGAGGTCCTTAGAAGGGGGAGGTCGTAAAATTTTCGAAATTGGTCCAACGTGACGGCTGACCCTGGAGGTGTGACTGAAGAAAAGCATCATATGAAGATTACGTGTTCAGATTCCACCAGCTATGATTCTTCGGAAAAACGCGGAAGCCTGCAAGTTCCGTAAAAAAGTCGGCGATTTCCCTGCCGCTCGTCTCTGCCAGAACTGGGTAATATTCAGAATGATAGCTAAAACTTTGTGCAATGTCATGGGGTTGTAGAGGGCTTATGAGGGGGAAAGGTCCTGTGCCTTAACTTTTCTGGTGGAACGATTCTCGTCTTACCCACTCCCTCCCTCAAACACGCAAAGACGGCACAATGGTTAGAGGAGCTTCCTCACACTCCGAAAGAAATCAACCCTGCTCGGTTTGCCATAGAGCCTGCTATTCAACTGGGACCAGTTATTTAGGAATTGACCTCACGGGTTGTGGGGAGTTCGCCTAACGATTTTTCGTGCATTATTATTTTTCACTTGAGCAATGCCCTACAAATATTGATATGCTATCGTATATCAGTGTTTTTATATTCTTAGATTTCAAAGAATCAAAAAATTCGAAAGACAAAACTTTCGATATCATCACTGATTTTTTTCCTGGCAAAAGAGAGAGTGCGAAAAGCCCGTTTTCGGGAGACACTTTGACCGCTACTTTATTCATCGCAAAAGCGACTCAAGTCCTTCGTATTCAAATAGAGCGACAATAATACCACTGAGTTGGCCTCCATTATTCATTGTAAATCCAAATCGAAGTTGAAATTCCACTACGACCCTCAAAGGAAACGGAAGGCGTGGCGCAATCCCAAAGTGGAGTTGTTCAACGCCCAATCTTTTCTTTCCCGACGAAACTAATCAACCTATCTGTTTTTCTTATCCGATGCTTACAAAAAGCGTCCCATTAAGGTGGAATTCGCAAGATATCGTAGAGGAATATTCGATGGACGAGTTCATACTTGGAATGATCTCTCAAGTGGGCGAAGCCTGAGGATGTCATCGTTGTTGAAGACTTACGAGGTAGAGGTCCTAGATGCTTTTTTATATAGATAAAAGTAGCAGTGGTCCTGTTGTGAAAATTGAGGAACAAATAGCTTTAACTTCTCCAAACACACCAGAATTTTCCAATGAAATTTATCGTAGGACCAAGGAAGGTTTTCAGATTTTTCCTACGGGCCCTTGCATTTCTCGCCGATTGGACGCTGTGGCTTCGACGATCATGCGAGGACGAGATGGCGGCCTTTCGTCGTATAACACCCTGAGGAAGAGGTTCAATTTGCCGGAGAAAGAATGGCATACGATCAACCCGAAGCTGTACCAGACGAACAGAGTCGTAAGTGCTTTCTCACTGACTCTCATAGATCTTTCTCACTGACTAGTGATCCTTTCGAAATTGTTGAAATCATTATATCGTATAAAAAACTCACAGTGTGCAAAACTAAATTTATAGAGGCCTTTGTTTTACGCCTCACGGTGTGCACCGCGTGCAATTACGACCAAAACACGTGCAACCTTGTCTGATATTATTCTCATTTCCGGATCCTATTCTTCCTAAATTAATTTCAAAAACTCCGATGAACTGGGGAAAGATTGCACGAATTATCAATATTTCTGCTGAATTGAATGAGCAAAAGCGAATGGCTTCCAATTGATCTTTGGTTCTCCATCTGAAGGAATGGTCGACGCCCTTCTTATAGGCCGATGTCAGACTTTGCGAATCGCGCGATTCGCTAGCGTCTGCGGTCGCGTCGCGGCCAGTGAATCACTCAATTGGCTGGTACCGCAACGCGACCGCGGACGCTAGCGAATCGCGCGATTCGCAAAGTCTGACATCGGCCTTAGTTCGAAATATTTTCTTCTTAAAAGAGTTTTAATAAATCCTATGTGGACGATAAGGAAAATTAGGTAGTGGATCGAGTAGGAGTCTTGCCCAATATTTGAAGGTGTTGTTCATAGAAGAGCGTTCACTGGTGGTAAAGATAACATTAGCAGAACCATCCTTTTGAAAAAAACCGAAATGTTGATAAAATAAGACAAAATTTTATATTTCCCACTGGATATCGAAATCGATTTAGTTATTCGACAGTCTTTCTAACCTCTATGGCGGCGACATCGGTGGCTTGGATGCGTTTGTGGGTGGGATGCTGGAAGTGGACGGCGAGCCGGGTGAACTGTTCAAAGCAATATTGAAGGAGCAGTTCGATCGACTCCGCAGCTCAGATAGGTAAGCTTCTCCCAAAGAGACTCTCTGGTTTTTCTAAAGAAATGACGGCTATAAGTCTATTGATAAATGAAAAACTCTGAGGTCTTTTGGAAGGTTCCAATTTCAGCTTCTATAGTTCTGTAATTTCTAATATTATTTTGTATCAAACCTATGACTAGTATTTGGAAAAGGGTTTATTTTTACAGGTTCTGGTTCGAAAACAGACTGAATGGCATATTCACCAGCGAAGAAATTGAAAGGATACACAATATTACGCTAAAGGATATCATTCGAGAGACCATAGGGATATCTGACCAGTGGCTGCAGAATAACGTAAGACATTTTGACCTACCCTCATCTCCACCACATCATTTCTTTTTTTGTCTTCAAAAAAAATGAAAGAATTTCAGGTGTTTGTCTTCGGAGGTGACGATCCTTGTCCACAGCCGTTCCAAGTAAATATCACAGGTGATCTACACCGAACTTTTCGTCCAGTTTGGTACCTTCGATATAGAGGGAATTTCAAGCCGATCCTAAATTCTTCAAAGGCATTTCCCGTGACAATAGGAAGGGTGGTGTATGGCTGACGGCTTCTGCAGAAGCACCCGGGGGATTGGGGTTCAAAGCTGCGCGTATCTAGCATCCCCCTATTCTTGTCCATTGCGATTGCATCATCGACCGCGGTAGAAGACGCAGAGCTTTAGGGACCCATCCCCCGGCCGGGTACTGGTGTATACTATCCATGATATACGGTCCTTGGACAGCCGATGGCAGCGAGGGTGTATGCCAGAGCAAGAGACTCTGACGGCGGAAGAAACAGTGAGGACAGGGACGGGCAGAAGGACAGAAGCTAAAGGCGTCGTTTCTGAACGGCTTTCGCCCGGAGTTTATCGCACTATTATACTACCCTATAGGCAAGCCGCTTACATATTCAGCAACTTGGGACGCATAGAGAAGTTATCTCGAGATGAGTTATAACATTACTCTTTTTCAGGACTTGAGGCATGTACGCCATTGATGAGATTCGATCACGTCACGGAAGTGGAGGGAAACGAGATAACCTTCATTTTCACACTGATCGGACTAGGCTGCATTCCGCTGTGTAAGTTTATAATTCTCAAAGATTGCCCTGGCATTATTTTTATTCGGAAGGCCTCCAAATCCATATATCCGCCTACATATATCTTCTGTA